TGGTCGGAGCCGAAGTAAAACACTTTGCCCATCAAAAAGTGTAATTGTAAAAGTAAGCAGGAGTGCTGAGCTGGGCTTAAAATATGATGACCGGAGTCATAATGGCCGTAGCCGAAATAAAATGTGTGATACTGGGTCACTGTGACCGAAGCTGATGTGAAATGTAATGCAGCATTATTGTGGCCGGAGCTGAAGTGAAACACTTGACAAAATTGAGAAAAGTGAAGAAAGGTGTTGAAATGGTCGTGAGTGGGTTCGTTCTGAAAAATCTGACAAAGGGGTAACACGTGATGTGACAGTTGTCCTTGAAATGACGTGCGCAATAAATGCGGCCGTAAAAAGATAACTGCGACAGTTAAACGGGCAAATTTAAAAACAAACCGTCAAATTCAAAACGGTACCGTTTGGGGTTGTCCGTCGAATTCCAAACGGTGTCAACAGGAACCGTAAGATTAAACGAATCTCAGCCGTTGAGATCTAATTTTGCCTAGAAGTATAAATAGGCATTTTTTCTGTAGAAAAAGGTTTACTTGCATTTCTTTTCCTGCAAAACTTCTGCGAGAAGCTTTACTGTGCGTTTCCTGTGCGTGAACTGCAGCATCAACTGGGGAACTCTAAATCAAGTCTTTCGAAACCGAGATCAGGTAATGTAGACGGAACTCTGATTTTAAGTTAATTGAAGTGTCTTTCTCCTTTCTCCCTTTTTGTGATTGATTTAGAGTCCTCTGAAGGAAGTTAGGGTTAGAGATGAGAAGGGTTTTGAATGTGTAATGGAGGAGGTTTTTTGTTTTTTTTTTTTTTTAATGGGTCCTGACTTCATTCCTCCCCCCTACTTCGTGCAGAGTTTGAGAAAATGTCTTCAGAAAGGACAGGAAGTGTAGTAGGGAGTGAGGTGATGCCCCTGGACTATGGGAGCATGGACTCAGAGAGTAGTCCGTCTCCATCTAGTTTGGAGAAGACGGTCGAAGGGGTGAGAGGAGATGAGGTGGTGGAGGTTGAGGGGGATGAGGTGGTAGAGGTTAGGGAAAATAAGGTGGTGGGGGTTGGGGGAGATAGCATACCCATTACCGTAGTAGAAATAGATGGTAGAGGAGGGGGAGAGTATGATGTGAATGCGGAGATAGTGGAGGAGGTGAAGCAGTATAGGTCTGAGCTAAGGACCAGGGATAGCTTGGGTCACTTGTTAGAGAATTACGAGATCTCTTCGCGAGTGTTAGTTAGGCCAGCTGGGGAAGAGGAGAGGGCGTGCTCTGCTCCTCTGGATCATTGGATGCCCGTATACTCCCATTATTTGTATGCTGGGCTTAAGTTTCCAATTCCGGAGTTGCTTGTGGGTTTACTATTAGATTACAACATAGGGTTGACACAGTTGGTCCCCAACACAATGAGGATAATAATTGGTTTTTTAGTTTATTGCCGAGCTCAAGGGATTAGTGTGCCAACTGTAAATATGTTTAAATACTTTTTTGTTTTAAAGGGAGGAAGTAGGAGGGATAAGGGGTGGTATTATTTCACCCCTAGGGTAGCTAAGAAGGAGAGTAGGATTTTATTCACTGCGGGTCCTTCATCCATTAAGGGATGGAAGGAAAAATTCTTTTTTGTGGATGACACGGAGTGGGGGAAGGGGGATGCCGAGGTGAGGGCGTTAGCCTCCTGGAAGGCCAAAAGGGCCAACCAGAATAGGTTTAGTTTAAATGAGGATGAGGAGAAAGAAGTGGGGAAGTTGGTGAGGAAGGGGGGAGATGTGTTGAACATCATGGACCTCACCAGCGCGGCATGCATAGAGGCTGCTGAGCTCTATGGGCCAAGCGCTCTGAGTGAAGGTTTGTTTATCATGCACTGTAGCGTTAAATGTAGAATATAAAATTGTGACTAACATTGTGTTTCTTGCTTTGCAGCTGAAATAGACCAGTTTTTGAACACTGCTGGAGGAGCGCCCATCCCCAAGAAGCCAAGGAAGAAGTCAAAGACTTCAACCAAGAAAGTGGATGAGGGGAGGACTGGGAAGAAGGTAGTGCCCGTGGCTTCAGCTGAGACGGAGGAGGAGGTGCCAGCGCTAAAGAGGAAGGGTTGGGAGGAGAGGAGGGCATTGCAGAAGAAGCAGAAAGTGGTGGAGGAGGAAGAGGGGAATGGGGTTCCTAAGTTCGTACCTCAGCCTCCTCTTGTTGAGCTGAACCCTGAGCTCAGATGGTTGGAGGAGGGGGTTGAGGTACGGGCTCCTGGTAAGGGAAAGGGCCTTGTTTCCCCGGTGGTGCCTCAGAGTAGCCTGTTCGAGGGAAATAACATAATGGGGGCTAGGTGGTTCATCAACAGCACCTTCCCCGAAGTGGACAAGCGCAACGCTCGGGAGGAAGCTCTGAGGTACGGGGGAGCATCTGTTGTGAAGCATGTTCTTGAGGTACGTTAAATTAGTGCTGCTGCTTATTTATTCTGTTTCTTCTTCTCTTCT